CTCTCTCTAGAATGGCCTGACAGGAGAGTGTAGCGAGGTTGGAGTTGGTCTCTTCTCACAGGTAGCAAGTGACCGGCCTGAAGCTGCACCAGGGGAGGTTTACTTTGGATATTAGGAAAAATTTCTTCATAAAAAGGGTGGTCAAGCTCTAGAACAGGCTGCCCAGGAAAGTGGTGAAATCACCAACCCTGGAAGTGTTCAGAAGACATGTAGACAGGTCACCTGGGGTCATGGCTTAGCGGTGAACATGGCAGTGCTGGGTTAACAATTGGACTCAATGATCTTAGAGGTCTTTTCCAGCCCTTAAGATTCTACATTTCTATATGTGCTGTCCACTGAGAACTCCATGGGAGATTTAACCAGAGGAGGGATAAGGGAATTGCCCTTAAATAGGAGAAAGACATTGACCAAAGGAGGTTAAGAGCAGCAGGAAAATAAAAATTAGGCAGAACAAGATGAGGCCATGACAGTCGAAACTTCAGCACCAAGATCATTAGACTGCAGGGGATGATAAAATCCTACCTGGAAGAAGAGAAATTGCATATCATAGCAAGACACTTTTGGTGTAGGCATGAAGAGAGGACATGATCCCTCACCAAAGATTAAGATCACTATGATAGTATGTAGCAAAGAATTTAAGAGACATAAAAGTGGGGCTGAGAAGAAAAACAAGCCTCAAATCTTTAAAAGGAAGAGTAACATTTCAAATAAAATGGCCTGGATGGTTCGAAATGGACAAAATTATCAGGCTGGTTTCTCAGTTCAGGGAAATCTCTAAAGCCGCTGCAGTCTACTTCTGCATAGATTAAAATGCATTCCTAATCTCTGAGTTTTAGATTAATATTGAAAAGCAGATTCAGTTAAAACTATTTCCCATAGTTCATGAAAGTCCTGTTACCCATCCCAGAAAATTCCACAAAATGGAAAAGCACATAGAAAAGATGGTATTTAATGAAATTGAGTCCAACTTCACTGAAAACTTCAAGTCTGTGCAGAACTCAAGTGTGTAACAAAATGAACAGGCAAATCTGATTTAATTTTTAACTTTTTCATCCCCTAAGCAAAGTAATAGATTCTCACAGCTTTTTTGGAATTTCAGGTTTTTAGGATACACTGTTTATGAAGACACTTCTCATTTATGCATGCTTTGCCTGGAAAAAAAAAAAAAAGAAGGCATTTTAAAAGCACAACAAAAGCATCACAGCTATGCTAGATTCCCAGGTAGAAATACTTTCTCTTTAATAAGTCTGTATAAATGAATTAATCACTCCAGTACTAAGGAGAAAATCTTATAAAATCTAATATGAAGAGGTATAAGATATGAAGTTATATTAATGTTTCTACTTGTCAGCCTGGCACACCATTGCTGGAAAAATGTGTTCAACAAAATTTCCATTGTGAAAACTCTTGTAATGATCCAAATCTCTCTGGAGTTGAACAAGGCAGCACAAGAGAACAGTACATCATTAGAAACATGAGATTTTTTTTTTTAAATGACTATTTAAGAAGTTAATGGAAGGTTTCTTTTAGGAGGTCCTCAACTAAAACTGTACCGCTGCACAAGCCTGAAGTTGGCTTAAGCCTCTCCACATCCCGATGTTTTCACACTAGATCTGCCAAAATCTACTGCCAGTGAGCATACTGAATGTGAGCAGGTTAATCTTGAGATATGAATAGCTTATCTAAGAACAGTAGCAGCTTTTTGGGTCAATGCTTTATAAGAAAAACCTGTTTTCAGACTACAAAATGCTGAATAATCAATCAATAGCATGCCTGAAGCAAAGTCTCTCAATAAGTACTATCCAGGGATGACATGTATCAATCCCACTCCCCACTGCAAAAGGTAGATCTTCGTGGAACTCAGGACACCATTGCACTGTACCAATGTCACAAAGATCAGCCATGTGAAACTGCAAAAGCATGTAGCAAACTCCCACGAGCCAGCTACCAGAACGTTGCCTTCTGATCAATAACCTACACAAAATTAAACCTCAAATCTCAAGTAGCTTGGAACAATTTTCAGATTAAACTAAGTCAGAAAACTACAGGTAACATATAAACTCCATCTTATATTGATCAAGGATGATTAGTACTGAAACTGAGTAATGGAGAATTAAAAAACTTCAAATATATTAATAGTTAAAAGAGAAAGCCAAGCATGCTAGGTAGGAGAAAAATACAGAGATTTAGGGGCTTACATCAAAGATTATTCAAGTGAGATATCAGAGTCACAAAATTGGTGACGTTGATTTTTAAGCAAAAGGAACCCAGCTTCCAGATGAATGGGGATCTGGCCTAGCATTGCCAAAATGAGATCTGAGTTGGCCGTAATAGCAGTGCTTGATGCAGTTGAGATGAGCACTGACACACTGAAAGGCTTTTCTGAACCCTTGTTTTGGTAATTCTCTTGCTCTGACCCTCCAGAGCTGGATCCTTTGTGTGTGCCAGAGAGATTCCTGCACCATGGAGTTTCCTCAGCTCCTATAGCACTAAAATCTCCAAGTAAAGAAGTTGCAGCTGAAGCAGAGGCCATGGCAGTAGTCTGTCTGCTGAGCCAAGGGCAGCACTGGACCAGCTCAGATACCATATTCCCCCCACCCAAGCAGACACCAAATAGTTTCAGCTGCCACAGAAGTGAGGCAGATTGTCTGGAGCGTGAGGGAAAACATACGCAGAGAAAGAGCCCGTGTATCTCCGTGTACTGGCTCAAGGGCAGAGGTCTGCCAAGCACCTGAGCTGGCCCCTGAGCCCTGGGAGCTCCCCAGCCTGGCAGGCTGCTCAGCACCCGCAGCAAGGGCACGTGCTTGCTCACAAGGCTCCTGCAGGGGAGCCTGCAAAATCCTCATAGAACCACCAGGGAGCTCAGGAAATGCTCCAAACCCGTCAGATGGCAGATAAGGACAGCCAAGCTGATTTTCCCTAATTCTTGAGAGAGGTTTGGTATCTGAAGAAACCAGCCAGGGCAAGAATAGCAGCTCACTGCTAGTTTAGCAGGGAGTTGTAGTTGAAGAGGAAAAGCATTTCCTTAGGGACACTTCTCTCTTCATATACCAAACCTATTAAAGATGCACTGTTTACTCTGGGATGGGTGCTTTGTTTAAAATATATTAAGAACATGTTTGACAGTTAGACCTTTACTTATATAGTAAAGGTTACCTGAAACTCATGCAGCAGTTAATAGGGTAGTTTGGTTGCTAGGATTTTGTTCAGATGCACAGCTGGTACAAATTCAGAGATGAAATTTTCAGATTAAAGCCTACATGCATCCAAACCTCAGAAAAACATGCCTAACTTGGAGCAGTTTCCATTCCCCAAGCCCTTCTCTCTGCACATGTATAGAGAGTTTTAAGAGCAGGCAGTCTTTACCATTTGAGCTTAATGGTGACGCAAAAGTTACTGTGACCTGCCCTTCAACGCCAAAAGGTGCAAGCCCTGCCCTTGCTTGGCCCTTTGGTGTGACCTCCTTCAGCCTCTGAAGTCAGTGACACATTTATCAGGCAAGTTCCTGCTGAGGCTTTGCTCCCTGACCTGCCTCAGCGCTGGCAAAAAGGACTCATCAGGAGCACCTCACCGGGAGCAGGGACACAGGTAGGAAGGGTCTGTTCTTTTTGCAGGGAGCTGGGTGTCAGACAAGCTCTCCCACTGTGTGAAGCCTCACTCTCACCGAGTAATTCTTTTGATTAAACCACCTGTGAAGCAAACAAGAGTCCTTAAAGATCTCATCCTATCACTGTGTGTTGTTACACATATCGCACTCTGTGCACATCCACACCTCTGTCCTTATTGTTCAGGTGAAGAGGGGTCAGGGGACATGAAAATAAAATAGACAGCAAATTCTCTTTTTTAAATTAAGAAACCACCTTAGGTCAAAGTGAACACTGAGAATTTTTATCCTGAAAACAAAGCTGCATCAAGAGGTTCAGTTATCCATGTTATTGCAAGCAGAAAGGCAGTTTTTATTTAGCAAGTGCTGCCAGTGGTTTAATAGCTTTCCCATTTAACAAAAGATAGAAGACTTACAGTGAAATTGAATCTCCAACAAGAAGGAGTTTAATATTCCTTTCAAAATGTTGAAGAAAGAAAAAGCCTTTACTCCCAGGATGCAGAGCAGCAGCTAAAGGAACCTGGGTGGAACTGACGGACATCAGACCCCTTGGCACTATCCCATAGTCCAGACCTGCTGACAACACATTCACCTTCTGTAGCACCATCTGCCACGGGCTTTGGTCCCTTCACCAAATAACTCTTCCAGTACAAGCTTTCTGCTGCTAACGAGGATGCATCCAGCAGAACAGGAACCCCTGTCAAACTCCAACAGCATCCCAATTACATTGGAAAAAGACCCAATCACAGATTTTTGTCCAGAGAAGTATGTAAGACCTCATCAGCAAATCTGCCAGGCCGGGCAGAAGGAAGCTGTCCAGGGTGTTCAGAACTCTGAGCCAACACGCTAACTGACCTCCATGTGCCAACTTCAGGAATTCAGGAAAGGGAGAGAATTAATTTAAGTGACTTGCACCATTCTAGTTGTTGGTGCAGATGACTCTGAGAGTATTATCCATGATTAATTTTCTTGTAACATACAGTCTTGCACTGTAGGAACATGAGCCTAACAGATCATTCTGAGCTTTGCCACATTAACACACACTTTTTACTCAGCCCAAATTCTGAGATTTCAGACTGGAGCAGAAGAGACTGATTTTGGGTGTAGTGCTGCATGCAGGTGTAGATGGCATCCCTTAGCAAATGCTCTCTGGCACATGTGACTAACAGGTGATGACAAAATACTGTCATAAATACTGAGTAACCGCTGGAAAGATAACGTTGTTCAAGCCATGTTTGCAAACTTGCTGTGCCAAGTCTGGTATATGTATCCATCTAGTACAGCTGCACACAAACCAGCAGTTTCAGGAAGGACCTGTCTGGGATGCAACAAGACTTGCCAGAATGTTCCTAGATCCCGTGGGAGACAATTCATTCTCTAGAAAGTCCAAGACCAGGTGGATTAGTGTCTTTATTAGGGAAAAGTGCTTCAGGACTTCCAGATTCTCAGTTACCTGGAGCCCTAAGTGGCAGAGTCTACATCAGTCCTTTCCCCCAGTCAGCCTCTACAAACAAAAAGCCATAGTTGGGAAAAACAGGAATCTGCATTGAAGAACATCTAGGAACAATTCCAGACAAATTACTGCAGCAGGAGCAACACAGGCATCCAGGAAGATTAGAAGAATAAAGTTGATGGCTACAGCTACAAACAACCAAATCTTTTCAAGCATCTGTTCTAGTAGGAGACAGAGGAACTTAACATATCTAAAAAGAGCAATGTGTAACTGGAATCCAAAACTTCATCATAGCTGAAAACAATTTTTTTTGCAGAAGAAGTTAACATATATATGGATCTCAATTGCAAATGAAAGCTTTTGCTTGACTGACAGCAGGAAAACAACAGCTAAAGTTAGGCTAGGCAAAGAAACAAATTCCTCCTACATCAAAAGTTCTCTACTTCCTAAGATATAAAACAAGGAAACCAAAACAAAAAAGAAACCTTTACATATCATTAATGAGCAAAGATGGGCAGAAGATGGGCTAGTGTCAATGAGATGGCACTTTGGCTCAGACCATTCCTCTGCAGGAAACTTTCAAAAGTCAAGGCATTATTTTTAAAACATCCAGAATTGCCTATCATCTTACATCTGTAAATGAGATTGCTTTGCTGAGGACAGAATATTTTTCCAGGAACAGCAGGACGGATGACGTATTCACCAAAACATCCAGCTGAATTCCAAGAATAGACCTGATATTTAACTATACTCAGTAATTCATGGTAATTTAGAAGAAGTGGCTGCCCCTTCCACACAGCAGACTCCCGAGTCCCCTGAGGCACCGTGACAGTGGCACTCGGGGCACAAACACTCCTTCCCCTGCAGCAGAAAACACAGTATTGGCCACTGCAGCCAAACTCACAGCAACAAAGGACTCTGCCTTGGTAAGTTCTCAGGTTGTCATCACAGGCAAGGTGACATGGATGTCTGGGCATACTCCTGCAATCAGGCTGCTCCAAAAATCAATGGATACTTTTTCTGGATGTGTTTTTAACTGCAACAGTACAGACAGCACCAGTGTCTACCAAAAGATGCTCCTATCAAAGGAGATGTAATTAATAAAACAACTCTGAAAAGGAGGCTGCAGTTGACCAACGTTGAGCAGTTGACCACAGCACCTTCGGAACAAGGCCAGTGCAAAATGGGGAGTCCCTTAGATCAGTCATGAGGTTTTATAATTGTATTAAGCTTCTCCTGCTGTAGTCCTTGAACATACCACCACATGTGATAAAATACTGCCCCCAGTACTGGCACTACTTGCAGTATGATTGTACAGGCTCAGACAATCTCTTCAGTAATTCTAAAGACCATTTCTCTATTACACTAAATAGCTGTTTAGCAAATGCACAACAGGAAAACCACGAGCAACATAGGCAACAACAGTTCTTTTATCGATTTCTGATCACTTTTCCTTGACCACCTATACTATGTAATTGATATAGAAAACACATCCCACTGCTCCAATAAACACCTTCTGAACACCTGCCTAGGAACAGGGGAATTTCACTTGATTTGACTTACAGGTGTAGAGTCAAAAGGAAATAAAATAAACTTTCTAGTTCACATAAATTATATTTAAATATATGAAAGAGATGCAACATATCTATTTAGATAGAAGCAACCTTTGTCTCAACAAGAAACTAAGTAGCAAAATGCCTGAACTAAGGACAACGAGTGGTGAGAGATCCCTTGTACATCCATGCATTTCACATGCTATTTCCCTACATGTGGGCAACCTCCAGATAATGAGCATCACCTGACAGAGGATGTAAGGCAAATACAGAGTTTCAAGAAGCCTTCTGTCACTCAGCCTTGGGTCTCTAAAAATGCAGAAACAGTGTATGTTCAAGATTACTCCCATTTTCTGAGAAAAATCAAACATTTGCATGATATGAAACACAACAGCATGTACTAGGTTAAAAAGTGAAGAAGAATGACAAGTTCATCTATCCTGACTTTCCGTTGTTGTTGTTAGTTCGGTATTTCAACTTGCTCCATCTGCAATGTCTTGTTAGGTCAGAGCATTCAGCTTCCACTGATGAAAACCTCATTTTAAAAATAGTCCAAGCTCACTCAACACAAAAATCAAGTGACATTTCTGGTGCTGAAAGTACTTGTAGGAAGACAACACACCGCATCACATGCCAACACCTTTAGCATTCTTTTTTTCAATCCATCCCCTACAATCTTTCCTGCTTAACAGACTGCTGTGACATTAAACCTCCACAAATACTAAACTAGTACTGCCATCACTCCTGTTGTTTTTAAGCAAAGAAAAAGTCACGTTTATTTTGTAGTAGCAATAGTTTCTTTTTTATTTTTAATATACTTTAGGAAACAATATACAAAGCTGAGCTTGGCCACCATTTTCAAACGGTGGGTTGCTCCAATTACACAAATTCAGCGTTTTGTGATGGTTAAGAACAGCAGTCAGCACCAGACTTAAACAGTTAGCTACAACACAAACATCCTTCAAAATGAAATGTCATAATATCAAGACAGGTAAACCAGGAGTTAACATATGACAACTTTCGGGGAGGTGTCTTAAATCATTCTTGTTGAAGTTTATATTTCATTAAATATTTTATACACATTTTCCTGTTTACAAGTTTTAAACAAAACCTCCCTTGAGGAATTATTTAAGTACAAAAATGTTCAACAAGAACAGTTCTAATAAAGAGTCCCCAAACAGACCAAATTTTAATGTGTTGACCAAAGGAAATGAAAACCAGTGTTTCTTTGCTTTAACATGTTTATTACAACAGATACAATTCACATCTGACTAGCTTTTTTTTTTCCTCTTTCCCCTCCCACAACCATGTTAACATGTTCATTGGGCTATTTCCTTATATTTGAGCAAGTAATGTACTTTCAGCACACATGCCCAGCAGTACTATAAGTCCATTCTTACAGGGTGCAAATGGAAATACGTTTCAATAATTTATACAAACAAGTGGGTTATGCTCAATCACTGCAATTTTAAGCTACTGTACACAGGAATGAAAAGATTATAGAAAAAGTGCCATAGCAACAGTGCCTTAAGAAAAGAGAAAATTAGAAGCATTAAAAAGCTGATAAAATCAGATTTAGGATTTCACGGGGAAATGGAACACAGAAGATGAAAAACATTTCTCTGTAAAACAGAAATGGAGAAGCACTGCTCTTGACTCGGTGCAAGTG